AGGACTAGTGGGTCACTGGAAAATGGACGAACAGACCGGTGACACTGTAGATGATGACTCCGGCCACGAGAATCACGCCACAGCCAGTGGAGGTCCTGTTCCTGCACGGGGTAAGTTCACTCGAGGACGCTACTTCAAYTCTGCAGGGGTCATCACTGTTCCCCATAGTCCTGGCATCGATTTCGGGCACTCCAGCTTTTCCGTGTCTGGTTGGATCAAAGTGCTCGACGTCACCTACCCGAGAACAACCTTCGCTGTCAGGAAAGGCTTTGGCTGCTATTTTGGTCCCGGTCGCAAAGGCTGGTTTCCCGGATGGGAAATAGGTCATGGTTACAACCCCAACGCAATTGCAGTCTGCATGCGTGACCATAAAAACAACACTATTGGCAACGTCTTGGTTACCCATGACGACGGTTACAAACCACATCAGCTAGTTGGCAAGTGGGCCCACTATGCGTATGCTTTTGATCGCTCGGCCAAAAAGATTCGCGTATACGTGAACGGAAAGAAGCAGAGTAACCAAGTGGACATYAGCAAGATTACTGGAAGCGTGACTAACAACAAGAACCTGGAGTTTRGTAATATGTATGGATGGCAGACTAAAGGAACACTGGATGAATAYAGGTTGTACAACTACGCCTTGAACGACGCAGACGTGAAGCAGATGTACTTGGACCACAGAGTGTGAACCGCATGATACGCCTTCACACAACGGTTTTTTGTGACGTCGAATGGATACCCTTTCATTAGATATGCGCGTTATATAAGTTAAACTGATAATGATTAGATACAAAAGCCGTGACTATGAACAAGGTCCTCCATAGTCTCTTGGTAGATAGTTAATTTGGCTCGTTAATGCTCAAATAAATGTTAATTGCAAGATTCTCTGTTCACCGTATTTCATTTTGCGATATACAGCACGGGTAACCCGAGGTGAGTAAGAAAAAGGGAAAAYTTAAGCTCATTTCTGGTGTTCATTTTGACACAACTGCAACTGCCAGAAGTGTATTGCACATAAGGCGGACGAATGAAATAATATATAAATATATTCAGAAATATTTTCCTGCCATTGAACCATTTGGGATCCCCACATACATAAACCTTTTATATAGTAGCATGCTTAAGTATTACGACATTCCCGTAATGCTTCCATAGCAAAAGGACTTATGAATGTCCAAGTCTTTTTTAGTGTTATAGACTTTATCACAGCCCGAACATATAAACACATCAACAGGGCTGTACCCACTAGGGCTTGGTCCTCGTCTCTTTTCTTCTGGCGGCGTCTTCACAGTTCGTGCTTGATACRATTCCCATTCCGGGTCAGTTCCGCTATCCAACAATTTGTTGGTTGGTTTACTGCTTGATGCTAGCTTGGCGCTCAATGWGGCCGAATGACGCTTTTCTATCAGTTTTATGTTTGGACTTTTTTGCCTGGATTTGGCTGAGTCGGTTCTTGGTTTTGAAGGTGGACGAGGTTGAATCGTGAAGGAAGGACTGTCGTGTAGTCTAGAAGCAGCCCCATTCGTTGTTTTACTCATGTCTTGGTTTCTGTCCACAAAGCACCCGGCTCCTGATGCCCTGATCATTAAATAACAAAAGGAGTTTAAGCTTTGACAACCAAACACTTTCAAAGCGGTTTTTCTGTGAGATGAGAGTTGTGCGCATAGGAATAATGAAGGAATATAGTGGTAGAGTGTACGAGTTAAAGTGGTCCAAATGTGGAAGGGGAAAAACACGGAGAACCCGCCCGAAGAAAAAGACTCAAGGCAGAGACACATCAAACAATGTCAACTCACATGCGATGCCCGATCCCSGTGCCCGATGCTTYATCCGATAAGATGTGAAGTGTGACAATCARGAATYAAGAAAGTCTTACCTAGAAGCAGAACGTCGACTGTCTTGTTCGCCACTTTGAGGTCTCCATAAACTTACTGGATCACGAGTCTATAAAGACAAAGAAWATAATGGTGCACTCGTCTACCGGAAGAACCGAAAAGAGAAGGAAAAGCGGATCGCTTCAATCAGAAGACCGAGYAAGCACCYCTGGTTCATGCGAGGAACGTAAATGMAAACGMAAGCGYAAGCAAAATTACGTGTGAACAACATTTATTCCGCCCGTKTTTACAWTTGCTTTTGCGTCGCTCGCGTGAATCAGGCTTAACAGGCAGATTAAGATTCCCGTKTTTCMTTCCCGCAAACGGCAAACGTGACCACGTTTTCATCGTTTCCCTACAATTCACTTAACCTTTTGCAAACCTTCCCGACAAAGGCACATATTCTTATTTTCATCTACTACTTGGAGATCATTGCGATTCCTTTTCACTAATTTTAAAGAATTTTTTAATGGTCAACTTACGTTTCACGTTTGCCGTAAACGAGAATCTTAAACTCGCTATTGTCTACTCAAGCGCTTTATCCAGAGTACGCCCGACAAGTACGTACAACTAGGAACATTTTTATCTGTTAATTTATCTCTCGTACCTCTTTRCTTTGCACATCGCCGGCTGATGACATCAGTAGCGTTATAGACTTCCGCAGTTTCTCATTCTGCTCTTCTAACATCAGAATTCTTATGTTATTTGCCATTACTTGTTTTTCCATATCTTTCACCACATCCAAGTCCGTCACTTCCCTTCCGTTAACACAATCCATATTCTCTGTTGCCGTTGATTTGTTATCCATTGACGGAAACTCCGACAAAAGTTTTARCTTTTCTTCGTTTTCTTGGAGCTGTTGCTGGAGTTTCTCAGAGCTTTCTTGTAGTTCTTTGACGYTTTCCAGTAGATTTCTCTTTTCTTCTTGAATTTTTTCGAGAMGTTCCTGGAGAAAATTGGGCGAAAAAATAAGTTGTGAAAGAAGTTAAAACATGAATGATTTCGTTATTTTTTTGACAGGTTTTTGCTTYCAAACTGTTGGTTTCTAGCAAATAATAAGCTTATGAGCGGCAACTACTCCATAGAACCGCGAGTCTGGTTTTATTTACCCAAAACGCCGATGAAGAATTCCTTATACCTTTTTGGATTGTAACTGTTCGTTTAAGTTTGTGTTTTCGTCTTCCTTGCTGCTTAARGCGTCTTGTAAGTCGTCTCTCTCGCCTTCTGCCTCCATTAACCGTTCTCGTAAATCTTCACACTCATTATCGAGTTCATCAACTCGTTGTAAAAGAGCGTCGTGCTTGCTTTGAAGTGCCTGCGAAGAAAAAAGCCAACGAAAATKTCGAAATATTTCTAAATGATATAGCTTCCCTAATTGCTCTTCCGTATCCTTTTTCCCTTTCTCGTACASTTTTAGTGTTCTTAATTCTGCACTACTCGATGGAATACGTTTTCTGGGTTTTCGAGAACAATATTATTCGTTCCCTTTTGCAGGTACAAAAARAATTTCATCTACCTGCAAAAGGGAGGAGTTTAGCATTTTCTTCAAGTACTAACCCGTTCGTGTTTTTCCAGTGAACGATTCTTAGCCTGAGTCTTGTCCAGTTCTAATGACGTCTCTCTGAGTTTAATCTGAACTTCGTTCAATTGTACTTTTACATCAAGAATTTCTTTATCTACATTCTGCAGTCTCTTTACTTCATTTGTCTCCTTTTCAAGGTCTGTTTTCAGCCGAGAGTTCTCATCCTCTAAAAAAGATAAASCCCATTCGTAAACCAAGTCAAATCTTTTCTCTCTGCCCTCACCCTTGAATATGTCGCTCCCCACCCTACCGTAAARAGATTGAAAAAGGAAAAGGGTTTCTCTACCTAAGAAGGGCATTTTGGTGCAGCAGGTTTCCCTGGTTGTACCAATTTTTGGTTGAAGAGAGCAGCAGAAGACGGTAAGAAAGAGTAACGATGAGTTTAATTATGTCCCTCTTAAACCCTACCCAACAAAAGGAATGACTTTTCTCTACTTAGAGAGAAAGCAAGGTAAAAAAACGTTATTATCACCTAATCCTGATAAAGTTTCCTTTTGTTTCTTGATAGTAAGATTTAGTTTGGCGGCCATCTCCTGTAACATTTYCTTCCCCTGTTCAAGCTCCTTGTTAGCACTTTCAGCACCTGCCAAGAGTACATCTTTCTCTTGAACGATTTTTTGAAACTTTTTCTTGGCTGCTTCTTCCCTTTCAGCCAGTTCGTTTTTCTCATTGATCAAGTTCTGTTCCATCTCCTGTACTTGTTTCTCAAGCTGCTTACAGTTGTCTTGCGAATTCTTCAACTTTGCCTCTAGTGGATTGATTTGAGCATATAGATTATCCAAATGATTATTAATCCTYGATAGATCCTGGTTTTGCTCTGAAGTCCATCTGGAAATGTCTGCTGCAGCCATCAGAGACTTACGGAGCAATTTCTTTTGTTTGGCCAATGATGAAGTTAGTCCTTGAGATTCACAAAGATTCATGACCATATCTCCAACTTCTAGTAAGTGTTTTTGTGTCCTTGAGCAAGCCTCGCAAGGRATAAATGCTGTATCATATGTTTGTGTAGCTATTTCCTGGCATGTTTTAGCAAGGGCAACATCTTCAACACTCAGTGTTAAGTCATTTGTTGGTGATGGGCTTCTGAATGAAATACTTTCAGAGGCTGAGAGAATAAACTTTGCAGAGCTTGCAGCAGACTTTCCTCTTCCTTTGATTTTCCCACTAACCACTCTTCCTTCACCATTTTTATTTATGACTATTTTTAGCATTTTAATTTCATCTCGTAGGTCACTGATGGTGTCCTCCATTTTRGTTAAAGTTTCAGCCTTGGTTTTTGTCTAAAAGTAATCAWTAAATATAGATACATAGTTTTATTAMCATTATTCAATTATGCTTGAGTGAYGTATAGGGCTGAGACCATGGCAAATGAATAAACATGAATAAATGAAGTGTAAATGAGTATTTGAGTATCATAAACAGATATGTCATGGCATGGAATTTAGATGGAGCTCCTTACAATTTATGAGAAAGAATGGGTTTATCCCTTCCCCTTCCCCATGGATTGTGAGGCTATATACACGTGGGCACTGTTGGCAAGGTTTTTCTTCTGAATTCTTTATTTATTAAACCAGGGGTCAAACAATTTTGATACAGTATGTTTATCTGGTTGAGTCGAGACTGAGTAATCACTTGCTGTGTTATGGTGTAACAACATCCATTTAATCAAACTACATATTGTAGAAACTAGGTTTAACTTTTACACACCTCAAAGTGCATCTGTTGTGTGGTTTGTTGCACATGCACCACCTCGTTCCAGAATTTCTTTGCTACCAGACCAACAGAAATGGCAGGACCCAGAACTCGGCTGCTGGCAGGTCGCTGTTCTCTGTCAGATGATTTGAGAAGTTGATCAACAAACTGAGCTGCTCCCTGAAGCAATAACATGAGTCTGCAATAAAGACAACAAAGGATTTATAATACAACATGTAAGCACACCATTGAAAGAATTGGGGTATGCCAAAGGGGAAGGGGGTTTAATATCTAATGTCCCCTCTATAGTGAACATACAAAATGCAGTATTAATTATTGTGAGTTTCCAAAGTCATAAACTTAAGATTACATGTAGCTTACCTATCAATAACCAGTTCAAACAGTATGATATGAGACAGTTTACAGTGATCTTCATCATCAGAGTAACCATATATTTCTAASAGTTCCCCAATATCTAACTCGCTGGATATCTTGTCAGGGTACTTCCACGATGGATACCGTAATGGCCCCACACGTGACATGACGTCTGAGATGACAGCCTGGATATCACTGATATCCCGGCTAAGACTKTCCAAGCAGCTCTCGTATCCAAGAAGATGTGACATTCTGTATCCACTTCAATATCAGGTTACTAACTTTATACCACTGAAGTCATACAAGTAATAGAATTAAAAAGCTTTTTTCAAAAAGAAAGCTTTGTATTATATCCTTTTTGATAATTTCTTGAGGCAATGATAATCCATATATTTTAAGGAAATGATTTGAGGAAAAATCACCAATAACTTGAGCATAGAAAATATTTTTAGAGAGATCAGATCAAAGCCAGCTTGGTAGAAGTGTGCCAACTTTTAGGTTTCAAAACCACATCTTTAGACGATTCCTGGTGCTTGTGRAGGCAATCTTCAATAAATAATCTTCCTGAGTGTTCAACGTTGAGCTTTGTAGTCGTAAAACACACCTTTTGAACTGCGATTTCAACATCCAAGTTGATATAAGAATTTTGACCGAAATGTTTTCATATCAAGGCACTTTTTACCAACAGACAATGCTGATCTTCATCAACAAACCATTAAAAACAAAAGATAAATCCGTTTATAGTTGGGCATATCACTTCTAATCCCTAAAAGGATAACGTTTGGCGTGGATTTTAACTTTAAAAAGAGATCTAAGCTTAAATTTTGAAAATATTCTTCAACAAATATCAATCGCCATCTTTGCTTTGGTTACCACAACACTACCCACAATCCATAGCTTTCTTCTGATAACACATTGCGGGGTCCCTGTGGCTTCGTTGTTTTCAAAATGGCGGACGAGGAAGAAAAAGATCAAAAATTTGTTTGTCAATGTTTTTTYACTCACAACATTTTTCTGGAAGAATATAAGGCACATATCGTGTTTGAAAATGACGAGCAATTTTTTTGTAAATATAGAAAGGTGACAAAAGTAAATTCTTATTGTGTAAAAAATGTTTTTTGAATGGCTTGTAAAAGAAACTATTTCCAAAGTTTATTTTTTGGAATTGATTTTGATTGTTTAAGGCTTTGTATGAGAGAGGTTGTGTATCAGAGGACCAATGGAGAACTGCAGTTATGAAGGTGACTTACTAAACTTAGGTACCGGTATTCAAATCTAATTTTTGATTGATTCTCTTTAAATCGAAAAATGAAAAGTGGAGAAAAGTGAGTGTGAGAAATAAAGATGGTTATATTCCATATTCCATGTTCTTATATAAGTCATATTTTAATCCTAGGTAAAGGAAGAGGTTAAAAGACGACAGAACCTWGGAGAAGCTTCACTGCAGAGAAAACAAACTATTTTACAAGATTATACACCCAAACATYCTCAGGTTTACCAGCTACAGGTATGGAAAAGTACATGTGTGCATATTGACCCATTTCGATCATAAAAAAATCTACATCTTTAAACAGAATTGCATTTTGGGTTTTCTTGCTGGTAAGTCYTTTGTCCACATATTATCAAGTCAAGATGTATGTCCCATTCCACAAGTTCTCAGACTACCATTAAAAGTAAATTTGCACACCTTTATATACAAGACTAAACATGGGAGGGGGATGATACTTGAAAATGAATTGTTGCYTATATAGAAATTAAAAGGTACGTATTTTCAAGTCTGTCATATAGATTTATGGAGTTTCATTCTTTCTTCCCAGGAATCTTATCTTTCAGAGGGTTTCTTGAAAATTGTTGACTTTTGCAAAAGAGAAGATTCAAATGTCAAAGGTTTACTCTCAATGCTTGATATATGCGATGGTAGGTTATAACATTCTATGGCTTATGATTTACAAAGCAAGTCCTGTGGTCTAACAAAGTTTTGTGCTGACCATTCAGAATGGACTACATCCTGCTTAGACTATCTGCATAAATTAATGAGCAGTCCATAGAGGTCTCATCAAATTATACTCACCTAAGGTAAACGTCATCAAAATTTAAAGCCCTCCACAAAATGTAGCTCTTTCCAGGATTAGATTTAGGGGAGGGATGAACTGACCGTGGCCCTCACTTTTAAATGTGTTTCTTTCTTCTGCCCCTAAGTTGTGTGTTTATGACACTATATATTTTATCAAGACTCCCTCACTTGAGAATTTTCTGGACCTACCTCTGCTTTCTTATTACTTGCATAATTTGCTGATTTTCTTTCATACATTTGCAGGAAATAAAATCTACAGACTTCCTGTATTTACCGATGAATTTTGTTCACTTTTGACTGATGAGCTCAAGCATTTTGAAGCATCAGACCTTCCAAAAGGCAGACCAAATACCATGAACAACTATGGGGTAGGGCCAATTTTTTCTCAAATGAATATAATATTGTAAAAACATAGTTCAATGATTAGAACAACTAAAAAGGATAGCATCATTCAGTTTATTCTATCCTTGATCATTATTTTATGACCAATGGAGTGAACCTACCCAAAACTCATTAACAGAGGCTGAGTAATAATAATTATTGAAATCGCTGATTATGGAAGGTGTGAGCAGAAAATTATTCATTGCTTTTTTGTGGGGCTTGGAGAGCATAGGAAGGTTGGTTGATAAAATAACAATTCTATTATTTTGTGTATTCTATTTTTTAAATAGATATTACTAAATGAACTTGGKTTTGATGAGGACTTCATCACACCTCTAAGGACACAATATCTTAGACCAATAACTACACTRCTGTTCCCAGAATGGGGCGGCAACTCCTTGGACTCTCATAAAGGTTTTACTGTACAGTATATGACAGGGCAAGATGTTGACCTCAGTAACCATTATGAYAATGCAGAAGTGACAATCAATGTCTGTCTTGGTAGGGAATTCACTGGTGGGCAGTTATACTTTRGTGACATGAGACAGGTAGGAAGATCTTCAGTCAAATACTACAGTTYTTTGTAAATTTGGGTAATTTAATTAAGTACCTTTTGCATGAAATTATAGTGACGTTAATTTCAAGATTTTGAAAGCTACATATTTTGTGGCACTTTAATTTTTACTTTAAGGAAATAGGGGTAATTTATTTTTAAGTTGTGTTTCAATAATTAGGAATGACAAGAAGTTCAGAMTAAATTGGCTGTCATTTATGCAAAACAAATGTCGAGAAACATTAAAAATAGCACATTTTTCATGATTCTGGATCTCACATGCTATGTTGTCATCACTTCATTATCATTATGACAGCATGAGCCATGCCACAGTGATATCAGTCATATAATATCTATTTTGACCTAGCTACACCTAGACTCAGTTTCTTTGTCTTACAGGTTCCTCTTCAAGAAACAGAGTGCTCTGAGGTGGATCATTTCACTGGCTATGGCATTCTTCACAGAGGGCAACACATGCATGGGGCTTTGCCAATAACCACAGGTGAAAGATGTAACCTGATTATATGGATGAGATCATCWAGAATACGCAACAGTCTTTGCCCAATGTGTAATGAAAAACCAAGATTGGTCAAAACTTTTGGAATTGGAGATGGATTCACAGGAGCCGAAAATGTCCAACTTTGTACGACTACATAATTTACGAAAAACTTAATTTCAGGGCTTAAGATGACAATATCTGGCCAGATTTGGTACAAATTTTTGCCCTGCTGGTCATTTTGACCTGTAACATTGAGCCAGAAATGAGATATGACCAAGCCAAAACTAATTTGGCCTGTGATCGTGACTGGCAACTGACTGGTCTTTATTTTTAGCCCTGAATTTTTTACAAATTTTAAATTGCATAAAAGTTAAATTTAAAAATTATGGAAAATAATAATAAAAAGAGATAAATATAAATTTAAGTAACCAAGTAGACAATTCATTAATGTATTTTTAAGCATTTTTATTCCAACATGAATTAAGATGCCCAGCAACAATTGCAGTATAAAAGTATATAAAGCACACAACATAAGCTCTTTCATTGATCTCAAGTCAGGAGAACTGCCATTGAATTTTTTTCAAATAAGAACAAGAGATAATATTGCTGTTATGATATTGGTACAGGTGTAATTCTGCCCTTCTCTTCACGTTTTTCCAATCAGATTCATCCTTGTGATTTTTCTTCTTTGTCATCATCATACTTAAATGATATCATGCTAGACCTAAGAAAACAACATGATGAATTTTAAAATATAAAGTTTTTAAACTGCTGCAATTTCCAGTTGTTCTGACAAGGGCTGTCAAAATATTGGGAATCATGCTAGACCTAAGAAAACAACACGATGAATTTTAAAATATAAAGTTTTTAAACTGCTGCAATTTCCAGTTGTTCTGACAAGGGCTGTCAAAATATTGGGAATCGCAAATTTGCTTTGGACCCCAATTTTACSAGACWCGTGTATGRTGCGYATGYRGTARWGGGRKGGRGGRGGGRAGGGKAGTGGGYATTGTTCCTCAYAAGAATAWGATAAAATTTAAGACTAATGGCTGCCATAACAAAAGGAACCAAAACCAAATCTTTTGTTAAAGTCAAACAAAGGCATACCAAAAATATGTTCCTGATTTATCTACTCATGACACATTATAGTACATATATAGTACATACCATGATCRATTTTACATTGTTTTAGCACTTCTTTAAASCCTTGACAATAAGACATATCACTTGAGTTCTGGGCACAATCCACAAACTGCTGAAGCTCATAATGACATGGATTCTGTTGTTGATTTGACATATTTTGTTGTTCTGCTGCTTGTTGTTCTGAACCACCATGGCCTCCCATTAAGGCACCTCCAACAACATGGCCCTGYGTTTTATAATCAAAATGTTAGATGTCAAACGATAAAGAAAACGAAACTTATATTTTACAACTAYCACWCYCCACAAGAGGCTTGCCTAATCRAATGATATAGTGGTTAGACCCCTTATCATATTTTAAGATAAACAAACCAGAWAACAAACCCTGAACTAGCTCACAGATGAAATAGTAATGTTGCATGTTAGGTTTTGCAGAGGGASGAAAACCAGGAAAAAAGCCCTTAAATCAAGGGAAAGACCCAACAAACTCTGGTCACATTTGATGCCAATTTTAAAAATTGAACCCCAGAAGTGTGAGGAATCCTTTGGGGTGTTTTACAGTTGTGCCAAAATAATATGGTGCTGGCTACAATTGGGTTTCAAGCACATCAGAGCATCTTATTCCATACAAAATTACATRACAGCCATGTTTTTATTTCCTAGCTCTATATAAATTATTAGACAACTAAGTTTATATATTAAAAACGAAAAGTAAACAATACTTTTACCTTCCATAAATAGGAAAAGTAAAAATATYTCCTTTGTAAAACAGAAATCTACCAATACTACGTAACTTCATTACTATGTTACGTCATAAGGACACAGTGAACTAGCAATTTTTTTTAGCGAGTTTAAACTAAAAAATCAAAATCTCAATGACATATAATAGGAACTACTCGTCTTCTTGTTCAAGCAAGATCATGCTGTGAATAGAAATCTAGATCTTACCACAGTAGAKCCGATGGCAACACCAGCAGCAGTGGACGCCATTTGCCCAAATAGTCCAGGTTGTTGAGGTTGASCTGGTCGTCCTACACTCGATGGAGCTGGTTTAGCTGGTAAAGATGGCTTAGGAGAAGGCTTACTAAATAAGGGAGACGATCGGCCACTCGATCTTCTTCCACCTCTTGGCATTTTGATATATTATTTTTTTTATCAAAAAAATACTTCTTTTTCGTTCCTCTTCTTTCAATAATGGCGCACTAATGAAAACGTGAATATGACGTCATTGAAAACCAATCTTCCCTCTGACTCACAAAACAGGGAACCCATCACAAAGACATTTATTGCACTTGCACAAAACATTCACTGGTAAAAAAGGTCTTTACTCCAAAGTTAAGCCCAGGAGAAAAAAGATTAGTGATATCAAATATAGTTCAAGAATATTGTTCAAATACCATGTCTTTTTAMGGGGATTTTAGTTTGGAGATGGAAATTTTGGTATTTTCCATATTTTTAATATCTTTAATCAAAAAGGGCCATCTTTTACAAAAAGGTGAAATTTTTTTTTAAATTTTTGGATTGGCTATATTTAGCGTTGTTGAAAAATTAAAGGCGAATAAACCTTTTTTCTAAAATGTCAATCAGAACAACAACTTAGAGTTACTAATAATATTTACATAAAAGGATTTTAAAAAAGAAAGCCGTCAAGCAGTGCATTGATAGGTCTATTATAATAACTATCATCTAAARTTGTTTTAATATTTGTAAAACGGCGTAAAAACTTAATATTGGGAGGTTGCCATAACAACGGGAGATCAGCAATGGTATATRATAACGAGGCTATCGAATCCATAACAGACAAATGAACACTATATGAAGTAAAACGTTCCCACTCAGGGWGAATCAAAACAAAGTTTTCTTCTCTTTTTAACTACGAAGTACCTCATTCAATTGACCACAGACAACTTAAAGAATGGATTCCAGCTCTGGTAGAGTKTCCACTCCAATTCGCTCGCCAACAGAGAGAGACTCCCGGACTTTGACAGTCAATAGAACAAGCGACTTTCCTTTCGAATTTCGAAGGGTACGATGTTTTTATTTCTTCCTTTGAGCTTGACTTTTGAAGAAATATTCTTTGTTAAATACTGTTTTGTCTTTAGGCRATGCTAAGTCCTCCTACTGGGCAGCTGAGAAGGGATTCTACTGGTTCTCTGTCGCCTGAAGAAGATATGAATTTAGAAAATTTTGACGACGGTCAAGATTGGGACACCGACCTCGAGATGGACGGTACGGACGAGGAATTAAAATTTGAGTATTATTTTACAAAATGAATTTCCAGTATAAATCAAATTAACTTAAGTGCTCAGATAGAATTACAATATTCACTTTATTRTTACTTCATATAATAATTTGTCTTGGAGTTTTTAGAATTTTAGTTTTAAGCTTTAACGTAACGGTAGATTTAACATAAGATTATAAATGAGCGCTGACCGAGTGTCCGAATCCAAAAAAAATTTGTCTATTACTAAAGATTTCCAACTAACAACCTAACAAAATGACGAATATTCATGGTATAACTTAAAAGTAATAAGACGAAACCGTAGTTCTTGATTAATTATTTAATTAAGTCACTAATTAGAGCGTTTTGCACCGGTTGCCACTTTGAATGGGCCCTTTTCATATGAATTGAAAAAGAATGTTTTATGCGTCTTTGTTATGGTAATACCGCGTAATAAATTGGCAATCATGTTATGAAGTGATAATTATTTTCTAGTTTTAGTCAATGGATTTTCTGTTTTGTTAATTATGTTAATGATTAACTCATTACTTTCAGAAGGGAAAGAGGAATATGATGTGACAGGCAGAACTACCTATATCCAAGCATGTCGAGARTCTGGTGTCATCCCTGCATCATACTTCTTAAGAAACATGCAGCAGCCAGAGATTGACATAAAGCATCATGGCCTTGGGCCGATGGGTACTAAGGCTATTGCAATTGCTTTAGTGGTAAGGAATTTGAATTCATTTGATTGAATTCATTTGTACATTATAATTATTAAATTGATAATATTTATCAGATAGTGTAGATGACCTTTTGTTGGCCACTGGTTATTATCATCTGCATCATCATCATCATCTTTCTTGTCATCATGATTATCATCGTCTCCATCATTATCATCTTCATTGTCATCCTTGTCATCATCATCATCTTCATTGTCATTCCYCTCCTGTTCATTATCATCATCGTCATCATCCAGTAGCAGAAACAGGTTTTAAGATTAGGATTTCAGAAATGCTATCTTGCTGTACATTTCAAGGACAAACCATAGTTTTAATCAATTCCATTCCCCTACTGTCACTATGTGGACCCTATTATTGTCATCATTGGCTTCATCATTATCATTATGCTAACACATCAATTGTTCTTATTATAGTCCAACACATCAGTCATCAAGTTAAACCTGAGAGATAACTGGATGGGACCAGAGGGAGTCAGCTATGTGGCTGAGATGCTTCATGAAAACTGCTATGTTTCTGATCTAGTGAGTATTGAACAGAAATATTCTTATTTCATATTCTGGAATAGCCAGTAACACAGAGAAATGACATCATATATTACCAGAATCCCCTGCACACTTGATTTTGCTCAATAAGCTCATAATATCTTCCTATTATTTTTTTCCGGTACGGTATCCTAAAAAATTGTGCGTTCTGATTGGCTGTTTGAGTGGGCAATATTTTGGCAGTATCTGCCCGCGCTCGCGGTTTGGTATCCTTTGCCGCTAAACAACAAAACAAAACAATTACGAAAACAAGTAAGAGAAATACGGAAAAAAATAAATACGGAAAAAAAATGAATACGGGTAAAACTGTGCCCTCGGTCTTGAAAACGTCCGTATATTCAAGACCTTGGGCACAGGTTTTCCCTATCCGGATCTCCTGGCCGGTAAATAACATATATTTATATCATAAGGGATTAAAAATGTGAATGAAAAAACGTTTAAAAATTATATTATAATCATAATATTATTATATTTATATTATAAAAAATATYWTGCTTCCATTTTTTCTCAGTTTCTAAATTTTGCAATAATTGACATTGCAGGATATATCAGAGAACAGATTAGGGGACAAAGGTGCAGAGCATCTCAGTGATATCCTTCTACACAATCATAACATTCATAGATTTACAGCTAGTGGTAAGTCATAGTTTGCAAATTAATGATTCACTTTATTTTTTGCTGTTTTCTTACTCCTCCCTCCTCCCCCCATCCCCCAACCCCACCCCAAGCCAAAACAAAAATGATTGATTTATTTAGCAATAATACACGACAGCAGATTCCTAAGTTTGTACATCTTAAATTATTTTACAGGCAATGGATTTGAAGACAGAGCTGCAGGAATACTYGCAGATGCTATTAAGGTATTTTTAGTGGTAACTGATGATAGACTGACCCACCCTGGACCATGCTGTTTTTTCCAATATCCTGTTAAATCTTATTTTCTTATGTTTCTCTAAAGAGCAATACCACAGTAAAGTATCTGTGTCTAAGTCATAACAAGATTGGAGAAAAAGGAGGGCAGTTTTTATCTCCTGCATTAGGTATGTCCAGTAAAAATTTAATTACCTCTACCACATCATGCAGATGATTTTATTAACACATTTTAAATCTCTTACTTTCTCTACAGCTGCTAATGATGCAATAACTGAGCTTGATTTGAGCTGGAATCATCTKCGAGGCAAAGGGGCATGTGCCCTGGCGTTGTCCCTCAAGGTAACAGTGAGTCAGATGTACATCATCATCCCCATTATGCCTTTAGAAGTGATGTATAGTGCTAAGATCAGTCCCTCAATCTGTTTCTCCTATTTGCTAGTTTACTAAGTAGCTCATTCTCTTCCAATGTCTTGCCCATTTCTTGAGAGTCAGATGTAGTGTGTTAAATAMTATGGTGCAATGCCCTGGAGCTTGCAGGGACAACAGGAAAGTGGAGAGCTGTGACACTGCAGGGATAACCTGCAGACAACAAACAMTCAACAAAATTACTCATTTTATCAAACCCTAAACAACCTCTGGGTTGATCTGCATGTTAGTTAGGATATTTTTAATTCACAGATCAAATTCAGAACTAGTGTGCTGGGTTTCTATAGAAGACGGAAAACTGGCGGAACTTAATAAAACCTCCCAAATCAAGGGATAGACCTAACCTAACTTATTCTACCCCATGTGATGCAGAGTCCAGGAATCGAACCAACACTGAACAACCCTAGCTAGAGGCAAGTTTACTAGCACTACACCAACCTTTATTTCTTCGAAGCAGGCATGGCTGAATTTGTTTGTGCGCGGCTTTCGGAGCTAGAGGTCCACAGTTCGATCCTAAGGGTCTTCATGTCTGTTTTGACTTCTCTCTAATCCGCATAGCTTAAACTTTGAATACTCTTAGAACAGAACACTAATGGWGAGAAGGGGCGCACCGTCGGCTTCCTGGGATACCAGCCTCGTAGATTAAGGAACCACTGACGTTAAATGTAGTTACTTTACCTTTTTCTATAGGAAAAACAGTGAGAACAGGATGAAAATTCAGCAGAGGGGCTGAGAAAGTGTAGTGCWAATAGTAATGGAATCAAATGGGAAAAGGATGAAAAAGGATGGGAGCAATACTAAGACATTCACAGGAAATAAAAAAGAGGGGCATAGTATTTAAGATTTTTTTTTGCAATAGCAAGTAAATTGATGCTGTTTATTATTTTTTAAAGGAAAATATCACTTTAAAAATTCTCAACCTGGCATGGAATGGATTTGGTAATGAYGGAGCACTAGCAATGGGAGAAGCACTCAAAGTTAATTCTTCGTTACTTGAACTTGATTTGACGTGAGTATATTTCGACTGTTATAAAGACATTCTTGCTAGGTACCGCAAACATCAAACTGCAGGTCGACGTCAGGCGTTTTCCTTCAAAACATATAGCATTGCGTCATGACGAAGTTGTTGTTGGAAAAGCCACCATATAGAATTTCATTGATGYTGAGTGTTTCTCCGTAATTGCGGGCGTTTTTCTGCGCCTGATCCCTAGCAATTAGCGGTTAGCGATAAAGGTCTCTCTTGTGGCTTTTGAACTGCAGTAGTGGCTGGACCAGTTTAGGTCGTTTGCATTCATTGCCAAGATCGAAAATGAAATAGATTGAAAAGAGCCGAACWTTTTGTCAAACTCAACGTTCATGACGTGCTATGAAAACTAGCAAGTTACTACAGAAAAA